CTCTCTCTCTCTCTCTCTCTCTCTCTCTCTCTCTCTCTCTCCCTCCCCCTCGCTCTCATTTTAACGAGATAAGCCGCTCTTGAGTAAATGAAAGAGCAGTGAATCTGTTGCTAGATCGGTGTGTTGCTGTCCTTACTAATTTATACATTACTGTGAAGGAATAAGGTTTAATATTAGCAGGCAGTTCATACTGCTTATGTTTAGTAAGGGTTAACAAGGCTGGTTGATCACGCCTTATGAAGAGTTAATGTCTCTCTTAAACGGGGACAGAAATTATTAGATGAGATGCCTTTATAGAGCCTTGAGCTGGAGGTCCTTCACTGAATGCAGCTGTCTCTTTGATGTCGTGAATGTTGTTCCTAGCTGCGTGGCCTTCCTCAAGATATATCCTTAAGGAGATTGAAATTAAGCTTTAAGGGGAGCTATATCCCCCTCCCCCCCCCCCAAAAAAAAAAGTAAGATTACATTTGCAGTGTCTGATATTTGCAGGCAGGCCACAGAGCCATCTCCCTGTATGGAACAGTTCTCTGAGGAGTGCACGGTGCTGGCTTACAGGGATTGGTTAAAATCATTTACCCAGGGAGTCCAGTATACAGTCCCAACTGTCCTGTAGTCCCAACTGTTGTGGGTGATGAGGCAGGGCCTGCCCGGCCTACAAGTGAGCTCAACGCTAAATAAGTCAAATATGAAACTTTCTCTCTGAAAGTGAAAACGCTGGCTAGAGATCATTGTAGAGCACCAGACTGTCCTGGAACCCTCTATAGACCAGACTGCCTTCCAACTCACAGAGATCCTCCTGCCTCTGCCTCCCCAGTGCTAGGATTAAAAGTTTGCACCATGAGGCCTGGCTTCCAATCCCCTTTTTGAAAGATGAAAAGAATTGAAATTGTAGACCAAGTATCTCAACTAATGAAACAGGTTCTGTTGCCACAATTCAAAGAGGACATTCTGACTCCACTCAGACCATTTTCCTAGAACCATGCAACTGGGTAATAGAGCCAGAGCAGAACTGATGCACTGCACAGATGGAACAGGAAAATTGGAGTAATTTAAATGACCTAAGCTGCGCTAAGTGGGGTTGATTTAGTTGTTTTGTTTTTGTGTGACAGTCTCAGGAAGCCAAGGCTGGCCTCAGACTTTCTATGAACCTGAGACTGGCCTTAAATGCCTGCTCTTTCTGTTCTCTCTTGAGCTGCTGGGATTTCAGTTGTGCACCATCTGACTAGATGGTGTGACTTGTACCAATTCAGTGAACCAGTCAGTGCCATCTCAGAGAAGGTCCTTGTCACCTACAGTTTGCCTGAATTACTGCAGCAGCCCCTCCTTAGTCCAATCTGCATGCTCCTCCTAAGAGAGCAGGTATAATTCATCACCATTCCAGGGCTGCCAGACCTGCTGCCCTCCTTCCAGCCTGTCTCTGGCCATTCCCCCTGTCTCTTTCTTTGCTAGCCTTGTGATGTTTTCCCAGCAGCACACACTGTTCTCATTAACCCCGAAGCCTCCTCCCTTGCTTGGTTATGTGCTGCAAACCTGTCTCCAAGTGCTCCTCACAGACCATCTCCTGATGACCTCAGCCCTCCCTGGGGCTGGCTTCGAACATCCAGCTCATGTTTAGTAAGTACTAGCCAGGTGTAGTGGTGCATATCATTAATCCCAGCACTTGGAAGGCAGAGGCAGGTGGATCTCTGTAAGTTCAAAGCTAGCCTGGTCTACAGAATGAGTTGCAGGACAGCCAGAGCTACATCGTGAAACCCTGTCTGGAAAAGAAGGGGTGTGGGGGCAGCGTTTCACAAATTTTTCGTTTTTGCAAAGGGACCGTGCTGATCGTTCCGTATCATTCCAGTTGTAGTGTACGGGCTGCTGAAGCGAGCACAGACAACAAAGTTTAAACACTTGTTCTGGGGTGGACCTCTTACTTGACGTGTGCAAGGCTCTGGGTTCCATGCCAGCCTTACAGAAACAGAAATAAAACAAAAGGCCCAGGAAATTTAAGCAGTCTTGCCTTAGTTCCATGGATGTGCTATCAGAATGGATAGAAATTGAGGCAGTGAAGATTTTTTTTGTTTTTTTTCGAGACAGGGTTTCTCTGTGTAGCCCTGGCTGTCCTGGAACTCACTCTGTAGGCCAGGCTAGCCTCGAACTCTAGAACTCAGAAATCTGCCTGCCTCTGCCTCCCAAGTGCTGGGATTAAAGGCGTGTGCCACCATCGCCTGGTGGCAGTGAAGATTCTAAGTGACAACCTAAGTACTGAAATGTAGGTTTGTTTAGGTAACTGGAGAAGGGCAATCGGAGAATGACCTAAGGCAGAAGGAGAAGACAGCATGAGAACCCGCCATGAGCATGCTGTAGGAGTATGGGGAGGCCGGCTGCAAGTTAGGCTGTCTGAGGCCCTGGGCATTTACATGTTGACAGTGGTTAGCAGGCTCCCATTCTGACGCCTGATGAAACCACCCTGTTAGGAGGATTGATGGCAGGACCTGACGTAGAGTGATGAGAGTTAGCCAAGCGTGGTGGCTCACCTCTGATTTTCCAGCACTTGGAAGGTAAGGCAGGAGCATCGCTCCAAGTTGAGGCCAGCTGGGATACATAAAGAATTAGTGCCATTAAGGGATACAGGGTAACAGGCGGATTTCTGATTTTGAGGCTAGCCTGGTCTACAGAGTGAGTTCCAGGACAGCCAGGACTATCGAAACCCTGTCTCAAAAAACCAAAAAAAAAAAAAAAAAAAAAGGGTTACAGGGTGAGACGGGTTCCAAAAAGAGATAAACCAAACAGCACAGGCAAGATGCCTCAGTGAGTGTGCTTCCTGTGCCAGCCTGGCTACACTTGAGTTCAACTACTAAAACTATGGCAATGAGGAGGAGAGGAGCGCCGTGTGTGTGTGTGTGTGTGTGTGTGTGTGTGTTGCGGCATCCACGTGCCACAGTGTGATACAATGTGAGAGAAGAGGTGGGAAGTGGGTTAGAAGGACATGACTGAGAAAGATTGGTGCAGAGACACGGATTAGGAAGGTGGCTCCGCAGGTGAGGTCACTTGCTACTGAGCTTTAGGACCTGAGTTTAATCCTGGAGAACCACATAGTGGAAAGAGAACCAGTTTCTTGAAGTTGTCATTTGACCGTCACATTTGTGACATGCCACACATCTCCCCTTCACCCCTTCCCACATAGAACAGTGAGTAAATATGTGATAAAAATTGAAGGTGTGGTTGAACTCAGGAACGGGTAGGAAAGGGAAGGGACAGCAGTAGAGTTTTAGACCTGGGTCTGGGAGTGGATACCACTGTGCTTTTGAATAGCACTGTGGTACTATTTATTGCCATAGTAGGCACTGTGTGTAGAAATAGGGGAAGTTAGGAAGGAGAAGTGATGGGTTCTCAGGCTTATTTTTGTATCAAAGTAACATAGTAACAGCCTTGCCTAGGTGCTGATTTCTTCCTCACAGGCTCACACAGAAGCACAACTTCTCAAAGGTGTGGCTGTGTGCAGCTGTCTTGTAGTTTCTCCAGTGTGATAGATGTTTTGAGATATGTGTGAGACAACTGCAGTGGTTAAAGCATTCATTTTCCATGAGTGTCTCTTCCAGCACTTGGGAGGCAGAGACAGGTGGATCTCTGTGAGTTGGAGGCCAGGCTGTTCTAAAGACACGGAGCTAGTTCCAGGACAACCATGGCTATACAAAACAACTCTGTCTCAAAAAAAAGCACAGCAGGCAGGCTGACCGTAACCCCTTCCTTTGCTGTGCTCTTGGGACTGCTTATTTCCAGTCATCGCTGTGTACAACTTGAAACCTCGGAGAGGCTCAAGCCATGAGGAGTTAAGAGTAGTTAAGGCGGGCTGGTGAGATGGCTCAGTGGTTAAGAGCACTGACTGCTCTTCCAGTGGTCATGAGTTCAAATCCCAGCAACCACATGGTGGCTCACAACCATCAGTAATGATATCTGATGCCCTCTTGTGGGGTGTCTGAAGACAGCTACAGTGTACTTACATATAATAAATAAATAAAAATTAAAAAAAAAAAAAGAGTAGTTAAGGCTCGCTATTTTCATCCTTATCTTGTGATGTCATGTAGGAGTTGAGGCTAGCAGTGGTTAAGCAGAAGAGGAGGGTAGGGAATCTGGAGGGATGGAACAGCAGAAAAGAAGGTTTCCACCGGAGACCCAAAATAGCCAACTGTGAGTCAGACCAGGACCCAGAGCGGTGGGTCAGAGCCAGGTTTACAGCAGAGAACTCCATTGTTAGCAGTCCTCTGCGAGAGGGAGACCGTGGAGTGGGTGGAAGTGCCGGACACTTAGAGCTAGAGTCCCCTCATACACCCTCAGGAGTTGTAGCTGCTCTGGGTGATAGTGTACCGTGAGCACAGACACTAGGAAGTGGTACTCTGTCTGCCTGGTTGTGCAGGCAGTGTTCCTACACACACAGTAGGTAGGGAAGCGCTGTTAGAAGCTAAGCAAGCTTGGGAAGAGAGTTTCTTTTGCAGGTGTGTTTTGTGGAAAGAGTCCTCCTGTTTCTGTTTGGAAGACAGTTTCCCATTGTCCACAGTGTAAGTCTTGTAACAGTTAAGGAGAGAAGCACTGGCTATGGGGCAACTCTCTCCGTGTCTTCTTTCCTTTTTCTTTTCTTTTTGTTATTGTTTGTTGTTTGTTTTTCGAAACAGGTTTTCTCCATCTGTAGCCCTGGCTGTCCTAGAAATTGCTTTATAGATCAGGCTGGCCTTGAACTCCAAAGATCCACTGCCTCTGTATCCCAAGTATTGGGTTTAAAGGTGTGTGCCACCACACCCAGCTGGTCAACCATTTCTTGACAAATGGACACTGCTGAATAAAATAATCCCTCTTCTTTTTTGTTTTTTGGTTTTTTTCAAGAGAGTTTCTCTCGATAGCTGTGGCTGTCCTGGAACTCACTCTGTAGAACATACTGGCCTTGAACTCAGAGATCGATCACCTCTGCCTCGAGTGCTGAAATTATCTTTCAGGATTGAGGACAGCCACTTTGATGTCATATATCTGTAATCCCAGCACTTGGAAGCAGAGGCTAGAGCATCAGGAGTCACGATCATCCTTGACTATTTAGTGATTTGCAGCCTAGCCTTGTCTACATAAGGCCCTGTCTCAAAACAAACAAACAAACAAACAACTCCAGCCACGTTATTCCTCTCTATATAAATTTATAAACTTGTATTTGTTACTGGAGGTTGAAGCTCGGAGCTTGCAGGCTCACACACTTGAGTCCCCTCAGTTCTGTTCGCTTCTTACCTTGTAGCTACTTTTCTGTTGCCCTGACTAAGACCCCATGACAAAGGCATTGCTGAAGACAGTATAACTGGGGGCTTACAGGCTCAGAGGGTAAGTCTTTGGCCACTGTGGTGGGAGCCTGGCAGCAGGCAGACAGGAATGGCACTGGAGCAGTGGCCGAGAGCTTGCATCTTGAGATACAACCTTGACACAGAGAGCTAAGGAATGATGTGGGGTTTTAAACCCTCAAAGCCTGCCCCCAGTAACACACCTCCTCCAACAAGGCCACCACATGGGCCTATGCCATGTGGGCTCACTTTCTAAATATAACCTTTAACCACCAGAGTCTTCCTGCTGAAACCAGTCAAAAAGTGTTGTCAGGCCGATCTAGCCCCGGCCTGAGAAGACTTGTGCTCAGATGCCCTTTTCTTGATGGAAGGATGAATTCTTAGGATTCAGTCCCCCACATTACCGGTGATTTGTGGGCAGGGGAAAACAGGCTCCCCTTGTTACTTAAGCTGCCTGGAATACCTGACCTTCCTTCCTTCTGTCTCAATGAAAGTTGAGATTATGAGCATCCACCACCATCCCCAGCCTACCTGTGCTTTTGTTTATTGGCATTTGTCATTGAACCAAGGGCCTTGTACATGCTAGGCAAGTCTTCTACTGCTGGGCTATATCACCAGCCTTCTTTTTCTATTTTCCTTTTTTAAAAAAATTGTGAAACAAGGGGTTGGAGAGATGGCTCAGTGGTTAAGAACACTGACTGCTCTTCCAGAGGTCCTGAGTTCAATTCCCAGCAAACACATGGTGGCTCAGAACCATCTGTAATGGGATCTGATGCCCTCTTCTGGTGTGTCTGAAGACAGCTATAGTATACTCAAATACATAAAATGAATAAATAAATCTTTTCTTAAAAAAATTGTGAATTGAAGTTTTGTTGCCTAGGTTAACCTTAAAACTTTCTCTTTTGCTCAGGCTAGCCTTGAACTTTTAGGCCTCCTGCTTCAGCTTCTCAAGCAGCTTGGCCTATGCTACCAGGCCCAGACTGAATAGTGATGCTGTTGTTCTGTTTTGTTTTCGAGACAGTTTTCTCTGTATAACCCAGGCTGTCCTGGAACTCACTCTGTAGACTAGGCTGGCCTGGAACTCACAAAAATCTATTTGCCTCTGCCTCCCAAGTGCTGGGATTAAAAGCATACACTACCACTGCCCAGCCAAATGGTGATTTTTAAAGTTAAGAAAACACAGCTTGGTGTGGTGATGCCTACCTATAATTCTTGGTGTTTGAGATTCCAAGGTAGAAGGATCATGGTGAGTTCAAGACCAGTCTGGGCTATACTATGAGAATCTAAAAGAGGGTAGAAGAAGTGAGGTGGCTCAGCCAGTGAAGATGCTTGCCACCAAGTCTGAGATTGATTTTCAGAAATCAAGTGATAAAGAGAGAACCAGTTCCTCTAGGCTGTCCGTCGACTTCCATAGACATAGCACTTGAGCCCCACCACCGTCCTCCAAGTAAATCAATGGAAAGAAGAAAACAGCCACATTTAGAACCAAAATCCAGAAACTTAGGTTAGCCCATCTAGTGTTAGCAGGTCTGTCACCACAGGGGATTGAGGCTATCTGGAGAAGATGTGCTCCAGGCTTTCCTTTTTGTCTGAGCCTGAAGCCCTGAATAGCAAGTAGCAGGACTAGATTTGTATCAGACCAGAAGTCATTCACCTCATGGGCCATCTTCCTTCAGCACAGGTCCCAGCGGAGCAGAGAAGGCGGCCAGAACAAGTGTACCTGGGCTTTACCTTCAGTGCTGGAATTCCACAACTCTATGCCCTCAAGATGCTCTCAGCATCTGTCTGCACTTGACCATTGAAGGCCATTTAAACCCGAGGGCACTGAAATCAGCCGACAGAGCTCTTTATGCAGTGGAAGTCTGCACAAGATTGAAAGATGTTTCAGTGGAGCTGAATGCATTTGTAGAGGGGCCTGTGCAACTTCAAAAGTCTTTAAAGATTAAGAAAGATTTGGTCCTGAAAATCTTTGTGAAGGATCTGTAGAAAATACTCATTTTTAAATTTATTTTTTACCTAATTCAGCCTATCTTCAGCTTCTCAGAGACACTTGTTGCTCCAGCTGACCACCCAGCTCCATTTATTAGCAGTGGTTGTTGTCTTAGTCAGGGTTTTACTGCTGTGATCAGACACCATGACCAAGGCACCTCTTGTAAGGACAACATTTAATTGGGGCTGGCTTACGGGTTCACACGTTCAGTCCATTATCATCAAGGTGGGAACATGGCAGCATCCAGTCAGGAATAGTGCAGGAGCTGAGAGTTCTACATCTTATCTGAAGGCTGCTAACAGAATACTGGCTTCCAGGCAGCTAGGTTGAAGGTCTTAAAGCCCACACCCACAGTGGCACACGTACTCCAACAGGGCCACACTTTCTAATAGTGCCACTCCCCGGGCCAAGCATATATAAACCATAACAGTTAGGTAGTAAAATGTGCAAGTTTCTTGAAATGTTGTAGCCACTTGAGGCCATTTTTTTTTTAAATAAAACTCTAAAGCAGCATATTTGTTTAAATTTACATTTATGAGTGCATTGTAGCTGTCTTCAGACACCCCAGAAGAGGGCATCGGATCCCATTACAGATGGTTGTGAGCCACCATGTGGTTGCTGAGAATTGAACTCAGAACCTTGAAGGTGTCAGTGAGAACTCTGATCATTCAAGTTTGTGTTTGTCCTTTGGATCCCAATCTACTCTGACCTCCATGAGGTTTTTTTTCCTTTTTTACTGAAACTACCAAAAATATTGGGCAGAAAGCAAGATTTGTATTTGCTGTCTGACTGAATTCTGGAGGTATTCTTATGGAACAGATTTGGAAGCAATATTTTGTTGTTTAAACATTGTGGAGATACCCTTGTGTTATGAGTTGCTCTTTTAACAGTCAGTTGTCCTTTATGTTTTGTTCCAAGATAAAGCTACCAATCCTTCCAACCGCCAGGAAGACTGGGAATATATCATTGGCTTCTGTGATCAAATCAACAAAGAGCTTGAAGGGTGAGTCCCAGAGGGAGAGGGAGGGAGAGCGAGAGCAGGAGTAAGCAAGCGAGCGCTGGCTAAGGAAACCTGGCCAGTTGGCCCTCCATCTGCAGACTGATTGTAGTGTGCTTGTCTATCAGGCCCCAGATTGCTGTGCGACTCCTGGCCCACAAGATCCAGTCTCCACAGGAATGGGAGGCAGTGCAGGCCCTCACGGTAGGTCTTTGCTGTCGGAGATGACAGCAGTGGATGTTCACTTACTTGTTCAAGTCTTTCCTCACACACACATTAGGCCATTCGTAGTAACTAGACTCCTGCCCAGAGCCCAGTAGAAAGGCCCTGACATAAGTTGGGTGTGTGTAGAGCATTGCAGTCAGCCAGTCCACAAGTACTCAGCCTCCAGAGCTGGCATGGAGCCTGCACAGGTCCCTGAGGGGCGCCAGTGTGGGGCTCAGAGAGAACCTAGGTAGTCTTGAGGTAAAGTGTGGCACATACAGTGTATTGTACAGCTGGAAGCACTACCTGTTCTAGTGAGGAACCGCGCTCATAGCCACAGCCACGGGGCAGAGGTAAGCATTTGTTCAGACAGCGAAAGGAGTGCTCAAGTGCTTCCTTGCTCCTCAGACAACAGCCAAGTGGAGAGGACTGTGGCATCTTTTCTGAGCCTGATGTCATTTTGGTCCTGGAGACAGAACAGTGAGGCTTAGAGACCAGGAGCACTGCTCTTTCATTATGGCGCTAGGAGCTCAAAAATGGTGATTTTTCCCCCCTAAGGGCAACCAGGCCCACTGGTTGTTTTGTTTTGATTTGGGTTTGGTTTTTAAATCTGGGTTGTTTGTTTGTTTGTTTTGTTTTTTAAAGATGTTTTGATCCTTCTGTCTCAATCTCCAAAGTGTTAATAATACAGGCATGTGCCACCATGGCTGGCTTGCAGGAGACAGTTTTGGTCTCCAGAAGACATTTGATAGTGTCTGGAGATGCTTTGGTGCTTTTATTGTTGGGGATGGTGTGACGTGTTGACTAGCGAGTGGTAGCCAGAGCTACAGCTAACGATCCCTGAGTGCACAGGAGAGCTCCGCAGCAGAGGGGCCAGGCCAGGATGTCCACCAGCCGCAGCTGAGAACCTGGCTTTACAGGAACCAAGCATTGGAAGCTGGGAAAGATGTTTCATGGTTAAAAGCACTGGCCACTCTTCCAGAGGACCTGGGTTCAATTCCCAGTACCCATGTGGAGGGTTCCCAGAGCCATGTGGAGGTGCACAGCCGTCACTCGGTCCTCCTTCCATTCTTATTTATTTATAGTTTCTTGACACAAGGTTTCTCTGTGTCACAGCCCTGGCTGTTGTGGAACTCACTCTGTAGATCAGGCTAGAACTCTGCCTCCCAAGTGCTAGGATTATAATGTGTGCCACCACCTGACTTCCTCCAGCACTGCATACATGTGGTATATAGATACGCAGGTAGACAAACACACCTATACTCTTCTTTTTTTTTTTTTTAAAGAGATTTACTTATTTATTTTATGTATGTGAGTACACTGTCATTCTCTTCAGATGCCCCAGAAGAGGGCATCAGATCTCATTACAGATGGTTGTGAGCCACCATGTGGTTGCTGGGAATTGAACTCAGGACCTTTGGAAGAGCAGTCAATGCCCTTAACCACTGAGCCATCTCTCCAGCCCCACACCTATACTCTTCAAATAAAATTCTTCCCTTATGTATGTGTGTTTATTTTGAAAAAAAGAAACCACTGGGCATGTTAACAGATGCTATTTGTCTCATTATAATGTGATCACGCACTTACTCCCAGCACTTGCTATACAGAGGCTGGCTGATCTCAGTGGTAAAATGCTGTGCAAGTCTGAGACCTGGGCTCAGTCCCTGGAACCTACAGAAAAGCCAGGTGTGACTCTGAATGGCAAAAAAAAAAAAAAAAAAAAACTAAAAAAAAACCAGATTCCTGAGTCTCATTGGTCAGCCAGCCAAGACTGAGGAGCAGTGAGTCCCAGGCCAGTGAGAGCTCCTGTCTCCAAACAAGGTAAGATTCATCACAGAAAGGGCACCCGAGGCTGACCTGGCATACACACCCATGTATTCATACCTAAGCACTGCTGTGTGCAAGCTGAACGAATGACGGCGCCCGAGAAGCATAGGGACATGTCAACAAAAGGAAGGAAGAGAAATGTCCCATCATCTAAACAAAGAACAATAGATTTGGATGTCTCCTATACCTGCAGAAATGTCAATTTGTGGAATGGCCTTGGAACTATTCTGGGAGTTGGAGAAACTTTCTCTTTTTTTTTTTTTTTTTAAGAATTATCTATTTTATGTATGTGAGTACACTGTCTCTGTCTTCACACACCAGAAGAGGGGATCAGATCCCATCACAGATGGTTGTGAGTCACCATGTGGTTGCTGGGAATTGAACTCAGGACCTCTGGAAGAGCAGTCAGTGCTCTTACCGGCTGAGCCAGCTCTCCAGCCTGAGAAACTTTCTCTTTGGACTTTAGTTTTCCTCCTAAGGTTTCAAGACAGTATCTTGTGGAAGACCTTTCCAGGTCTGGCAGCAGACTTCCTGGCATCAGGGACTCAGCATTTCCTGCTCTAACTTTTGTGTAGCAGTCTCTAGGGAACATGCCATTAGAAGGAGGGTCTGTGGTGAATGGGTCTGGTTTAACCTCTGTCCTCCAGGAGAGAGCACCGTTTTCTCATAGTGAGTCCCTTCACCTGGGACTGGTTTCTTAATACTCGTGGGGACCAGTGTCTTGTTCCATAGCTCCCATAGTCAGGGCTGCCTCTCTCTGTGGCCACAGGTGCTGGAGGCATGTATGAAGAACTGTGGCAGGAGACTTCATAATGAAGTGGGGAAGTTCCGGTTTTTGAATGAATTAATCAAAGTCGTCTCTCCAAAGGTCAGTTGGTAGCAGTTTCTGCTGTTCTTTCCCATACTGGCTTTTCTGCTCCATTAGCGTCTCCATAGAGATGACCCTGTGTGTCCTGTGCTTACAAAGCTGGCTCCTAGAGGTGGGAAGGACTGATGAGGTTGAGGTCTGGACAGCATGTGGTAGATGCCCAGCCTGGCTGTGTGTGCCCAGTGAGAGTGTGTGGCTGTACTCTGTGCTCTGCTGGACAGCGTTAGCTGGACAGCTCTAGACAGAGCGAGTCAGTTTTTATGCTGGTGGCATTCTCAGAAGGTCCTCAAAGGAAATGCGCTTATGGGGCTGGAGATATGCCTGGGGGCAGTAAAAGTATTTGCGACAGCTCTGAGGGGGATCCAGTACCAACTTCTAGCCTCTACAGAACCCACACATATATGGTAGACACTCACGTAAATAAAAATAAACCTTTATGCCAGGTGGTGGTGGCGCACGCCTTTAATCCCAGCACTTGGGAGGCAGAGGCAGGCGGATTTCTGAGTTCGAGGCCAGCCTGGTCTACAGAGTAAGTTCCAGGACAGCCAGGGCTATACAGAAAAACCCTGTCTCGAAAAACCTAAGAAAAAATAAATAAAAAAAAAAAACCTTTATTACATTCCCCTTTTTTAACATCTCAGGCAGCTTCTGCATGGGAGCACAGGGATCTGGCCTTGGCCCTGTTGTGACTGCAAGCTGTCACCCCCTCCCCTGCTCCATCACACCATAGGGTGTGCTGGGTCTGTGTGTGCAGCTTGTAACTGGAATGAGGGGAGCACACTGTGAATTCATCCTTGGTGTCTCGGATAGTAGACTCTTACTTTATTTTACCTCCTAGTACTTGGGAGACAGGGTGTCTGAGAAGGTGAAGACCAAGGTCATCGAGTTGCTTTTCAGCTGGACACTGGCCTTGCCTGAAGAAGCAAAGATCAAAGATGCCTACCATATGTTGAAAAGACAAGGTATGTGTTTACCTCTCCATTTACCTCAAGTGACAATGAAGGCGGAAAGTTAAGGCAAAGAAGAGAATGTTGGGAGTCTCCAGGGTCCTGCCAAGGTCCTTTCCTGTAGAATGGATTTGTCATGAGGGCTCAGCTGAGGTTCTGGTGGGTTGAGGTGAGAGTAGCCTGCCCTTCTTCCTGCTTATCACAGGGATTTGGCCCTTGTTGTGTGAAGGACAAGGTGACCGTTGCCTGAGCAGTGCTCTGTCATTTGTGTCTCTCTCAGGCATAGTGCAGTCGGATCCCCCTATCCCTATGGACAGAACGCTGATCCCCTCTCCCCCACCTCGTCCCAAAAACCCTGTTTTTGATGATGAGGAGAAATCCAAGGTAAAGTGTGTCTTAGACCGGAGTTCTTTTAGATGAGCAGTCGCAGGCGGACTGGGTGTGGGTGTGAAAGTGGAGGGTGGGTGCCTTTTATCTTTCAGTTTTTGAGTCAGTCTCTCTCTCTCTAACCTAAGCTGACCTTACACTTGACACCTTTCTGCCTCAGTGGCCTGACTAGTGGTACTGTAGGCATGAGCCACCCTACCAAGCGTGAAGTGGGGTCTTGCTTGATATTGCAGTTCCTTCTGGTGCCTAGTGGGACTGGGTACATGCTTCCTTCCTTCACTTGAGATACCTTCTCTTCCAGCTGTTAGCCAAGCTGTTGAAGAGCAAGAACCCAGATGACCTGCAAGAAGCCAACAAACTCATCAAGTCCATGGTGAAGGAAGTGAGTGGGTACTGTGCCTCTGGGCATGGGGCGCAGAAGTTCTTCCCCAGCACCTGCAGCCCTGCGCTCAGGGACTTTCGGAGGAGCCTTGTGTTTCCTGTGGGAGAAAGCATAGAGGGGTGGTGGGTGGCAGTGGAAGTGGGAGGAGTCAGTCTAAAACAGCTTGGGGTCAGTCTGAGGCTTGCAGTCCTAGGAAGCATGCGGAGTTGTGCTCTGGGCTGGCCTCTGCCCTGTGCTGTGGGGTGAGGAGTGAGCCCTGCCTGGAAGTTGAAAGACAAGCTAGGTGAACTTGTTTTTTACTGCGCCCTCTTGGCTGAGGCAGGATGAGGCGCGCATCCAGAAAGTGACCGAGCGCCTGCACACGTTGGAGGAGGTGAACAACAATGTCAAGCTGCTCCACGAGATGCTGCTTCACTACAGCCAAGAGTGCTCGTCAGAGGCCGACAGGGAGCTCATGAAGGTAAGCCACTGCTGCGAGCTGTGAGCTTGCCCTGCAGACTGCTCTGCCCCACGTGGGGCCTGTCTGGGTGAGGACATGCGTGCTTTCCGTGGGCTTGGTCACTGTATCAGGAGAGTGAAGGGCAGTGTCTGTTGTATACAGCTACTGCTCCTGGTGCACGTGCTGCCTGGGACTCCAGATAGCATGTCCTGATAATGTCCTAGGTGCTCACTCCTACTCTGCCTTTAAGCCTTGGGGACACCTCAGCGGGAGACTTCCCTGAGTGCTGGTGTTGACATTGTAGCTTAGGCTGTTGGCTTCTGAGACATATCTTTTTATTTATTTTTCTGTCATACATTCCATCCCTACTGTAATTTCTCCTTCCTCACTCTCCTCCCCCCTCAGCTTCCTCCCTTTTTCCAGACCTACCCCCACTTCCTACCCTCAGAAAAGAGCAGGCCTCCCAGGGACCAAATCTGCCATAACAGTCTACGGGAAGACCAGGCACATACTCTCACTTCAGGGCTTGTCAAGGAGGAAAAGCATTCCAGAGGCAGGCAGGAGAGCAGGGACAGCCTCTGCTCGCACTGTTAGGAATCCTACAAGAGCACCAAGCTACGCAACCATAACTGTGTACATGCAGACCTGTTGAAGAGCGAGAACCCAGGTGACCTGCAAGAAGCCAACAGACTCATCAGGTCTGTGCTAGAGGGAGTGAGTGGGTCCTGGGCCTCTGTGCATGTGGCAGAAGTTCTTCCCCAGAGATCTTAGGTCCCAGAGGATGTAGGTCAGACACACACAGGCTCGCCACCACAAGAACGTGGCCCACAGAATCAATGGACTGAGACACGTCTTACTTAACAGTTGGTACAGGTGACTTGGGCAATATTGTTTGGTAGCTACTGAAGACACAAAGATGCTTGCTCTGCTCCCAGCCCAGTCAGTAACTCTGTGGTCTGTTGGGGAATCCCACCATTTTCTGGGCATAAACATTGAATCAGATGACTGGCCAGAACCTCTTTAGTTACAATTTTTATATCTGGGTCTCTCTCAGGAGCTCTTTGATCGTTGTGAGAGTAAGAGACGGATATTATTTAAACTAGCCAGCGAGACAGAGGACAATGACAACAGTCTGGGTGAGTGTGAAGGATGAGGCAAGACTTTAGACATGTGTGAGAGTCGTCACAGCCCACAGTGAGGAATCTCTTCTACTGTAGGAGACATCCTGCAGGCCAGTGACAACCTGTCCAGGGTCATCAACTCTTACAAAACAATTATTGAAGGACAGATCATCAATGGTGAGGTGACCACCTCAACCATGCCTGACTCTGAAGGTAAATACTCTGATTTCCATTCTGGGACTCTCCAGAGCAGCCACATGTCCTGACCCCTGAGCCACAAATGGCAATGCTCAGGGAATTCCTGAGAGGATACCAAGCCATTCCAAGTAGCCCTTCCCAGAGGCTAGGAGGTGTGCATGGAGACTTCCTTTCTTGCCTTCTCAAGCGTGGCTTTCAGTGTCCCTGGAGAAATGGCAGAGTTAGAGCCTTAGCAGCTGTGCCTGGGTCCTGCCTCTTGCCGCATGGAGACTAGATTCACCCCGAATGCCCTTGTCCTCTTCTGTCGACCCATCCAGGAAACAGCTACTGCAGTAACCAAGGCACCCTCATCGACCTTGCTGAGGTGGACACCCCTGGCAACTCATCCCCAGTGTTGGCCCCAACACCTGCCCCACCCACCTCAGGCATCCCTATCCTCCCTCCACCCCCCCAAACCTCTGGGCCTCCACGAAGCCGTTCATCCAGCCATGCTGAGGCTCCCCCAGGGCCTGACAGGACGAACAATGCCCTCTCCTTGCTGGATGAGGAGCTCCTCTGTTTAGGTATGTGCACGCATGGCATTAGGGGAAGGAAAGCATGTGCACCAGGCCTAAGGGTTAGTGTGCTTTCTCAGTTAACTCTCTGGAGGCCACCAGGGCCATCTTTCTATGGATTGCAGGATAAACATGGTAGGCTGGGGCACAGCTTGTCTCCTCTCTTTCTGGGAGGCCTTTGAATCATGCATGAAGGGTGAAGAGGATTTACTTCTCCAGTCTAGCGGCAGAGGAACACTTTCCTTACAAGTAATGTCTCTTGTCTTGTCAGCTCAGCCCAGGACCTCATCTCACTGAGTTTTCTTTTGTGTTCTTAGGCCTTACTGACCCAGCCCCTACTGCTCCCAAAGAGTCAGCTGGAAACAGTCAGTGGCACCTGTTCCAGGTAGAGGCACAGTAATGGCAACATCACTAAAGTGTCCAAGGACCAAAGCTCACCCATTCCTTCTTAGGCTGTGTCTGGCTACACTTTGCTAAAACCAGAGCTTATTGTATTCTCTAGTGTCGGGTCTGCTGGAGCTGAGGCATGCTGCCTCCAAGGGGTCTTCCCTGGGGGTTCCGTGGGTCATGATGGGCACCTCAGAAGGGCCTGGTGGGTGATGAACTCTTCCCTTTCTGCAGCCCCTTCTAGGTCTTTGCTCACCTGATATTTCTGTTATGCAGAATGAACCATCATCAGATCTGGACTTCTTCAGTCCCAGGCTAGTGCCTGCGGCCTCTTGCCCCTCAGATGGATCCCTGCTCCCTCCCCCAGTTTCTACCTCAAGTATGTCCCAAGCTCCACTGCCTGCTGCCTTCCCAGCTCCTATGGTCCCAGCTATTGCACCAACCCACAGCACTGGTTCCTTCATGTTTTCTTCTGGACCTGCTCCAGCCTTGGTTCCAAAGGCTGAGCCCGAAGGCCCAGAATACCCCAGCTCCAGCACCTCGCACCGCCTAGATGCTCTTGACCAGCTTCTGGAAGAGGCCAAAGTGTAAGGGATAGGAAAAGAGGGTGGCTGAGGGTGGGGCGTCATATACAGGCCCAAAGGGAGGCTTCAGAGGGTGGAGTGTGGATACCTTTTGATCCTGTTAGTCAGGCTGGAAGTTGGTGGCCTAGGGGAGCTAGGGCCTGGCTCTGGATGAAGGGTTGCCTGGCAGCTCTGCTCTCTGACTTGCCTTCCTTGCCTGCAGGACCTCAGGCTTGGTGAAACCTGTTTCTTGCTTCTCTCCTGGGCCCACTGCCTCCCCGCTGCTTCCTGCCTCTGCCCCAGCCAGGCCTCTCATGTCCTTCTCCGCTGGGCCTGGAAGCCCTCTCTTCCAGTCACCGGCCTTCCAGTCCCAAGGCAGCCCTCAGAAGGGCCCAGAGCTCTCCTTGGCCAGTGTCCATGTGCCCCTGGAATCGATCAAGCCTAGTAAGTGCTGGGGACAGGCGGTCAGCCTCAGCTGTAGTGTTTGTAGGGTATGTGACCAGTGGAGTCTATCTATGCAGGAGTCTCTTACTCTTAAGGGTCGTCCACTTGCCTGCTGTCTCACATCTTTTTTAAAGATTGTGTTTTTATTACTTATAAATGTTTGTGTACCTTGGTGTATGCGTGTGCTTGACATGTATGCCCACAGAGGTCGGAGGGTGTAAGGCCTCCTGAAACTGGAGTTGCAGGCAGTTGTGAGCTGATGAATCATGGGTTCTGGGAACCAAGATCCTCTACAAGAATGACAAGTGCTCTTAACCACTGTACCATCCATCTCTGCAGCCCCCAGCTCCTTACAGTAGCTGTGTGACCTTGGTCCTCTCCAGTTTTCCACAGGGCAGCACTGTTCAGCCATGGTGGCTTTTCTCCATCCCGTAGTACCTAGGACTCTGCAGGGCCCTTGCCATGTCCCCCACCACACTTACTCATGTAACACCTTCTTGCAGGCAGTGCCCTTCCCGTGACAGCCTATGATAAAAATGGCTTCCGCATCCTTTTCCACTTTGCTAAGGAGTGTCCGCCAGGACGGCCTGATGTGCTGGTGGTAGTGGTTTCCATGCTGAATACAGCTCCCTTGCCAGTCAAGAGCATAGTGCTGCAGGCCGCAGTGCCCAAGGTATCTTCGTCTCCCTTAGATTGAACCTATCATGTTGACCGCCTTTCAGTAGCCAGCAGGTGACACTTGGTGTCTCTGAGACACCTAGACCATTCTCTTCAAAGGAGCTTCTTTTTTTTTTTTTGTCTCCAGTCAATGAAAGTGAAGTTGCAGCCACCCTCTGGGACAGAACTTTCTCCATTTAGTCCTGTCCAGCCACCTGCAGCCATCACCCAGGTCATGCTGCTGGCCAATCCAATGAAGGTAAGCATGGGACAATCCACCTAGGGTGCCACTGGCCCAGATTAGAACACAGGGAGTACCTTCTGAGACTCTGTCAGGAGGTCCTGGCATGACCTGTAGCAGTAACCCCTCTCTTATCCCAGGTTAAGGGACTGAGCATGGGTAGACATGGTGGTGCAAATGCATCCCTCAAGCAGAGTCATGGGTGTGACAGGGGGACAGTGTCTTGGAGAGGGAACTCCTGGACTGATTCTCATCTGCAGCCTTCATATTACAGGAAAAGGTGCGGCTTCGGTATAAATTGACCTTTGCTCTGGGGGAGCAGCTGAGCACAGAACTGGGTGAAGTGGACCAGTTTCCTCCTGTGGAACAGTGGGGGAACCTATGACCCCAGCAAATGCTGCCATCTCTACTTGGAAGGCAGGCAGCCCTGAGACAGGCTCTGGCTAGTCCAGCCACTGTACACCCTGGATAGTGTTTACAGCTTGGTGTGGATCAGGGCCCTGGACACTTCTGTCAGGAACCAAGCTGCTGCTTTGGTCATCTCTTCCTGGGCCCCTAAAAGGACCTGTTTTATCTACCTGTGTGACTTGAAGTAGCTGTACTGTGTGGGTGGGGAGTTCCCTGTGGCTTCATTGGTCACTCTGGGATGGTGGACTCTGGGCGTGGAATAGGATTTCCCTTTTTTTTAACTGGCATTCCTTGATACCAGGAGAGGGCTCTGAACAGTGCCTCTCCAACCCCTTCAAGAACTACGTCTTTACGCCCCTGCTGCTCCTGAACTCAAGTGGGCAGCAGTGGCTCAGAGTGAGCCCTGTGGAGTACTGTAGTCTTCACTCTCTGCAAGCAGCAGCATCCTGCAGTGGCTAATGAGTGAGTGATGTGCTTACAGTGGCAGGTTGTGTCCTATGGACACCGTAGCGGGACAGGGAACTTGGCCTGATAGCTTCAACTAGGGACAGGAAGGAAGACAGAAGTGCCAGTGTTTCCCTTCAGAAGCAGGTACTGTGGCTTTCTGAGAAAGGCGTACCTCTTGCAGTGGGAATAGGCCATCCTCCTCACTACCTCTTGCTTGGCATGAAATAAACTGCTGTGCTCCCCATAAGCCTTTCAGGGGAAGACACCTCTTGCCACTCTGCATCCTGCTTTGGTTACTCCCTCTTCCTGCCACACAGAATGTGGTGTGGCACCTATGGCTGGACCCAGAAAGTCTCAGGGTCACACACATTGCACTAGACTTTTATGTCCTTTTGTGCTGCACCCAATACCCACTTTTCCCCAGCTAGAGAGGGGCACTGTCAGCGACATGTTGGGTCTGGATGTGATGAGATCTGTGCTTGAACTGAGTTACCAGACCCTATTGCTTCTGCAGTGCTGTGCCTCAGCTAGCATGACCCAGCGGCTCCAGGCCAGAGACTTTCAAGCCGATAGGGAACTCAGCTGCTGGAGGAGTTGGGAAAGGGTCAGCAGCAGTCCACTGTGCTCAGCTGTCTGTATGATGTGTTCCCACGACATCTTTGAGCATCCTTGCTCTGTCTAGAGGTCATCTGTCCTTAGCTAGCAGGTTTTACAGTTTCCTTAAGTCAAAAAAAAAAAAAGAATCATTTTCACTAATGATGGAATAAATCCAAGAGCTCTCCAGAGCCTGGTTGCTTCGGTGCTGGAGCATCTATGGGATTACTATATCACTACAGTCTTTAAATAGTTCAATTATGAGTGTCACTACTACTGAGGTCACTGCTTCAGTCAACAGCTGTACTGGATGTACCACATCCTGCCCTTGTTTTGCTGCATGTGAAATAAAACCCTTTTACCCTGCTTGGCATCTTTTAATACAGAGCACAGTGACAGAGCACCATGCATGGATTCCAGATAGGCTTCTGAAGCCTTTTGTTGAAAGATAACCAAAGAAATCAGATGAAGGGTGTTCCAAGGTCATTGGCTGAGTAAGGCCTCCAGAAACGAAAGCTGCCAACTCCATTTGGGCAGGATTACTCCCCTTGTACCAGTGCTGTGGGTCCCTGGCTTCTCTAATGAGATGGAGTAGGGCCATTCTCTATCAGTGAGCTCATAAGCCAGGAGTGGAAACATCCATCTCAAAAACAAATATTGTTCATTTTGCCATGTCAGGACAGACAATTTAAAAACATCCTTGGTTGGATTAATAACTGGTCTTAATATTTGCAAAACAATTTATTCCTTTAAAATCTATTTACATTCCATACAAAGTTAGTATATTGTGACTGTCCTTAGTTTCTCTCAGGAACCCTCCAGTGAGCCTTCCCTTATAATTGCTCGAGCGAGATTCCGAGCTAGAGCTAGCCTCAGCATCTCCACCTTGGTGGTCTCTATGTCGTCATCCTAAAGAGCAGAAAAGCAGTGTAAGGGGCAACAGGCAGCACTCCAGGAGACCACAGAACAATCACAAGTTCAGACTAAGGCCAGCACAGCATACTCTGCAGTGGGATGCCTTGCTCTGTTACAGAACAGGTTAACAGCTAAAAGGCATGAAAGAGGCTAATGTTTCAGGATCGCAAATAATGGAAGGAAATCACGAGACAGAAATCTTTCCCCAATTTAACACGGAATCGTCTTCCCAGGAGTTAAAATGACCTGTAATCGCTGGGTGTCAGGCTCACCACACTCTTGCCTCCCCGAGGCCAAGTCTTCCAGGCATCGCATCAGCTCATATGTCTGCTCTGCTGAAAAAATCACCTAGAGGAAAGAGGCTGCTTCACTTAGCTGCTCCACAGGCATAGCCTGTGTTAAGTCTAGGCATGGGTCCGAAGTCTTTGGGAAGAAATATTTGCATACAGAGCCCTGGGCTGCTGGTGTACTAGTCTCACATTCATCCTTCTAGTGAGGCTCAACACTTGGTAGATGGCATCTTCCAGCTGTTCCTAAATGAATACTGGATTGTCACTTGAGCCTTGTACACACAGTACTACTTAGGAGGCATATATGAGCTTCTGTATGGCTACAGAGCCCAGCTGAGGAAGACCACCAAAGGCACAGAATAGACAATGAAGTCTTACCTGCTTCTGTTCCAAAAGAGGAAGGGCATCTGTGAGCAGAGTCATCCAGAAAGAACGGGGTGCAATCTGAGAGGTCATGAGGGACAGCAGAAGAAAAGCAGCGTCACCAAAGCGCTTCTCCCCATACAGCCTGTGGAACTCCCGGTACTTTCCTGTGGAGGGGTGTGAGTTCACCTGAAAATTCTTCTCTACTTACCTGATAATTAGAAAAGCTATCCTGGCTTTAAACTAGGAGAACTCTATATACCTGGAAATGTTTCTAGAACAGTCTCAAGTTCACAAAGAAATGAAATATAGGATTCAAAATCTTTATGAGCACCAAATCTGGGGAAATCTCAGTAGTGCAGGAGACTGTAAGAGATCAGTTAAAGTGCTGGAAAGATGGTTCTGTTAATCATTCTTGCAGAGACGACCTGGATTCAATGCCCAACACCCACATGCCAGCTCACAACCTACTAACTCCAGTCCCATGGGACCCACTACTGGCTTCTGCAAACACCATGCTGATATGTGGTGAGCACCCATACACAAAACAGAAGTTTAAGATTAAAATACTCCATGAACCCTGGTGATATACATGAGGTAGAGGGAGGCATTAATCTCTTCCTGCAGTGAACTACCAGTTCACACAAGCAATGAAAAAGTCTCTGGTGGGAGCATGATGGGACACGGGACATGGAAACCATGCCCATAATCCCAGCCTTGGAGAGGTAAGGCAAACAGACTTCTCTCTGTTAGAGGCTAGCCTGGTCCACAAAGATTTCCAGGGCAGCCAGAGGTACATAGTGCAACCCTGTCTTCAAAAATGAATACAAAAAGTGTATATAAAATGTGTCATTTTCTCATGCTATTTCATTTCCCTAATTTCGGAATTTTTGAGAAATAAAATGTTACAAAACTATGCAAAGGCTAACACATGCAGGGGCATCTGATGGAGATGGAGATCTTCCATCTCCCCAGAGTCCACTCTGGTATACCTAGGGGAAAGAATGTGGAGACTCACCCAGAAATGTCAGTCGGTCACTGAGCATCATGGCTGGCCCCAGATTGTCAATGAGATCCAAGTCAGAAAAGCAGCCTCTTTCACAGTAGTCCCGGAGGAATCTGCGGGGCCCAACCCAAAGGTTAGAGCAGCAACATTAGGCCTTCCTCAAGCTCTAGCCAAACACAAAGCTTCACCTACCTGTCGGATACGAGTGTGGCAAACGCAGCATCTTTGGCGCGGATGCTCCAAGAGAGGGCTGAGCCCAAGCGGTTATTGCGGACAGCCTTCATGGCCAAGATCTTACAGATGCTTCGAACTTTGCAGGAGAAAAGACAAAGGCAAAGGCTTACACCTTATGATCCCTCCTGTGAAAGCCCTGTGGGGACAGGCTTGGCCTTCCTACAGCCTCACTACAATCTAAAGGATTCATTATACAGCTAGGTGAGAAAACCAGAAACTTCGGTTTATTCTTTTGTTTTCCTTCGCTCATACCACAGATGACCCACTCACTAGACTGGGTTTCTGAGTGTTTGTCCTTGGGTGGCAAAAAAAGGTCTCTGTTTTCCTCCACATTAATAGTCCTACCATTATCTGTCCTGGGACCACAAAAACCTCATCTTCCTTTTTTTAGATCTTGAACACCATGGGCTTCTAAGAATGGTTTAAGTGTGCAAGTGTCTCTTAGCAGTAGAGGGAGGATGAGTACAAAGCTGTTGACACCTATTCCTGTTGCTCTGTGCTCCTGCCAAGCCTCCCCACTGGTCCAGGCTTTGCTGGTAGCAACCTCCCACCTACATAGGACTCTCAACTCTGACCACAGGCTCTGAGAACCTAAAAGTCAAAGGGCCTGATTTTTCTATGTTTTAATGGCCAACCCCGGCTCTTCTGTCCCTCGCTGATGATGTCTTGGCATGTATTGTACATTGTCTCTCCAGGGTGCAGAAGCTGTCACAGAGTAAGTAAGCACTGCTCAGCCTAGGGATGCCCTGACAGCCCAGAAGACAGGCTGGGGGAAGTGCCTTATCACCTTGTTCAGTCATCTGCCGCTGCTCACAAATCCTCAGCACCTTCAATGCTTTCTGCTCTGTGTTGAGAGGAATCCGCTCAATGTGCAGCTCCAAGGAAACTCGGCCTAGCTCCGGGCAGTAATCAAAGTAATCCACCCCCAGCTGCCACAGGCTAAGGTGGAAGAAATGCACATATTGAGAGGCTACATAGGCTGCCCTATGGCCCTGGGCATTGCTACCCGATGCTCATCCTCCTGACCTCTGAGCCCTCAGAACCAGCATAGAACAGTGAAGCTTCCCGGCATGCACAAGGTCAGTACCATTTTGGGGGCCTTCCTACCTGTGATGAGCAAACAATCCTGAGGCGTATTCAAGCAGGAGGAATTCTCTCATGTTAGAACCAAAACTGGGGGGAAAAAAACACAGGACTGCAAGCCTGCCCACTCTGTGGCTCCTGCAACCTACATGCTCCTGTTCTACTGGCCACCCCCTCAAAGGCTTGATGATGTAAGAAAGGGTCAGTGCATGTGGCCAACTTACTAGAGATTGTGTGACTGGAGGAGTCTGCAGTGATCCAAAAGGTCTGTGAGGTGAGCTACAAACCACCAGTTGCTCAGGGCAATGCTGCAAATCCAGACACCAAGGCAAAAAGGTCAGGGGAAGGCAAAGAAGCCAGCATCACATGACTGAGATGAGTAGAAAACCCACACACATCCTATGCTTTTAGAAGACTGGAGGTTGAACAGAGAAATGGTTGAGGGAAAAGGGACATGATGGCAAACATGATGACCTGAGTTTGACCCCCAGACCCTAGATAATAGAACCAACTCTCAAGAGTTGTTCTTAGATCTCTACTGGCAACAAAAGGGCACGAATGAACACACACACAATTAAAACAAAAAAGGCAAATGTGGCACACATGTAATCTTGATTCCTAGAAAGGAGAGGCAGTAAGATCAAGAGTTCAAGGCTAACCTTAATTAGGTATCAAGTACAACTTCTGTCTGAACTACAATGAGACCCCCTCAAAAACCTCACATGGCAGCAGGAAGGAAACCCTTCCCATTGCCCAGATCAATGTTAATAAATCCCGGCAGGGAACTCAGCACTAAGCCAGGCTATCTGCTGCCGCTCTCCCTTCCTCTGGTCTCAGCAGGCTGCAACAGACTTCTCAATAGGATACAAAGAGCCAGAAGCTTTAATACTACATATGGAGAGTCTTGGAAGACTTCCCATTTGTTTGAGACTATGTAGCCCTGCACCGACCCAGAATTCCCAGACTCCCCTGCCTCTGCTTCCCTAGTGCTAGGATTGAAGGCATGTGCTACCTCACCAAGCAAAGTTTTAGTTTTCTGAAGCAAAGCTTCATGTAACTAGGGAATCAAACTCACTGGAGCCAAGAGTGAACCTGAACTTCCAACCCTCCTGTCTCCACTTCCCGAGGGGATAGACTACAGCACCAGACAGGAAGGCCGACTTTGATTTGTTCTGCTGGACACTCCCTACCTCAGTTAAGGTTCACTGCAATGGGAACACACTCTGGGAGAGAGCTGTCAATCCCAGGGATGACAGTTTGACAGCCCAACTCACTAAAAGTAAACTGTTGGGAAGCACTCTCCTCTGAAGCGGCTGCATGCTCACTAGGTGCCTACTAATAAGTTCACCAGTACTAGATTTTTTTTAAACATTTATCTGGGAGTCTGAGTACAAGTGCATACAAGTACACACCAAGAGCCACAGCATACATGTGGAAGTCAAAGGACAATTTTCTGAAGTCAGTTCTTTCTACCA